AATGGAACTGTGGATTATCATAAATGGAACTATGGATTATCATGGTTATCATGAATGGAACTAGATTATCATGGTTACCATAAAATGGTTAAATGGTTATCATATATGGAACTATGGATTATCAGAACTGGAACTAGATTATGATAACTCATAAATGGTCAAGGAGGACAGATATGAATTAAAGAGCTTGTATGAATTGTGAATTCTTTCCAGGATCCTGCAAGTTTCTCACCTGAAAATCCTCCAAATGAATTCCCTACAGACTTTTCCCTAATAACACACATACAAGAAGCTGTGCTTACCCTTTAAAAAAGAGAAACATGCAAGAAGTTACCCAGCCTCAGAAACAAGACAAGTGACAAGCAAGCATTATCGAAAAAGAAATGGTCATTTGTTTCCAGGTTTCCAAATCAGCACTTGGGAAGATGGATTGCTTTGACTCAGGGCCAATTTCCATATTCTCAAGTGCTGCATTTGAAACCATTGCATTATTTTAGATTTGCCCTGACCTCCTCCCTCAAGGAGGGGAGATGTTCATCTGTGACCCATCTCCCAACCCTGACACACACAGATCCAGTCCCAAAGGCAAGGAAGTGCACAGCTGATAGCTCAGACACCTGAAAACAAGATTTAAAAGCCATCCTGATGTTTGCCATCACATGCTCACACAAGCACAGGATCTTGTCTGCTCTCCTTCCTGATGTGTCATTAACTGGTACCCAAGCAATGAAGGAGCACTCTCACAGGCTCAGCAGGAATTATCTTAGTTATTTCACTGTGTTAATTATAATGACCATGCAGAGTCCAGCACAGCAGGCTAGCCATGGGTGAAACCTTTCTGTGAGTGTCCTGAGAGTGCAAGGAGGGAAAGCTGTCAGAGCTGAGAAAACTAAAGGGCTCCTGGAAGAGCAGATAACCCAAACCGGTCCAAATACAGCACCTCTCTCTCCAAACTCAGCAGATGCTCTACACAGAGGCAAATTCTTCCTTCCTCAGAGGATTTTTATTTTCATTTATTAGTTTAACTCAACATTAAGTTCATCCACACTAGAACCTTTCCTGAGAACCATTTTGATTTCAGTGAAAATAATAACTAGTAGTAGTAGTAAATGGGGACAATCCTTCAGAATCATTATAAATAGCACAACACTCTCAGTTTTCATGCCTGCTAACCTTGTTTATGATCTCTTTTAAATAAGAAAAAAGGGATAATTCAATTAGCTTTAATTAAATTCTTGGTATTAGACCCTAACAGCTAATGAAAATGATACAGATTTGTTTTTATAACTAATGAAGTCCCAGAGAATTAGACTTCATTTTACTTTGGGGCAGGGTGGCAGCTACAAGTCTGTTTCCCTTTACACACATGGAAATGCATTACTGGCTGTGAAAACAACAACAAAAAATTGCCCATAAAATCAAACGGGAAGAAAAATGCTTCTTTCAGGAAAAAAAAATTCTCAACTAATTTGAGGGGAAAAAAAAAAAAAAATCACACCAGCAACCAAACCCAAACCAACAAATCTAAACCCCACACTGAAAATACACAAAGAGAATAAAGCCTGGTATTTTCAAGACCAGTTTGACACCATACTTTTATCAGTTCATAGAGGGCTCCTGCAAGTTAAAAGATCATAACCAAGGGATCACTTTCCTTGTGGTATTGAGTTCCTTTTCAAAGGAAACTTTGGGATCACCCTGCAGCCCTACCCAGCCACACAAGGCTTTGTAATGAGCACCTCAATGAGGATGGAGCTGCTGGATAAAAACCACAGCAGAACTAATGAGGAACAGAAGCCATTTCCCACTCTAGCTCAATAATTATAAACATCAAAAGACAACAGAGAAAGGAACTCAGACACAGGACTGGAAAAGCCCATCCCACTGCCCACACTCCAGCTGGAAATCAGCTTTTTTTTGGCTGCACCAATGCCAGTGAGGAATGCCAGCAACACCACTGAACTTCAATAATCAAAACATGTTTATCATCTCTTCTGTCTACAGCATGAACTGCCTAATTTCTCATTTATCACCAAAATGCTTTGCAATGAAACCTTGCTAGGATATCACCAACATGCCAATACTCCAAGTCTCCACAAGCTGTTTCCTTAGATGAAATACCTGTGCTCCAAAGGAGCATCAGGCACATTGCTGCAAACCATACCTGTGTGAAAACTTGTCAGGGCAGACCCATTTTTTTCAGAACCAGTCAGTCATGACTGCATTCATTACAAACTCTCAGAAAATCATGGAAGGGTAATTTGTAAACAGTGTTTTAATAAAGAGGAATATGCAGGACTTATGACAAGAGGTAACAAGAGATCTCTCCTTCAAAGCTCTTGAGTCCTGTGAGGACAGCATTTCATTTTCTCCTCCCTAATTCCATATTAATGACATCAAATATGAGATTTGAACTCAGCTCAGCTGCCACTTCCATTTAGAAAGGTCTCCTGCAGCAGGAGTGGCTTATTAGAATGCCTTTGGAAGAGGACAGTTATTTATCAAGAACAGCCTCTGTCTCAGCAGCCAGAAGTGCTGTATAAATGTCAGGTGCTTACAGAGGAATCAATCCTTCAGTATATGCAGTTTATTAACCACCCAACATTTGCGTTATATGATTTAACACAAAGTACATTTAAATTGCCAGAGCACAAACTCTTTGAAATGACCTCTCAGAAGGGAGCTGCCGTGAGAGCAGCTGATGAGTGGGACATGTTTTACAAAGAAATGGGCAAGGACAAACCCTGAAAAGAGCAAAGCCATGAAGTTCTGTCACACAAAGAACTGGTTAAGATGTTAACAGCATAATGAGTGATAGCTGTCATTCCAGGAATGAATTGAGCTTACATAAAACTGAGAACATCCAAATTCTTGTCCTTTCCCTTCAGAGCATAGGGCTCAGCATGGGAATCACACTTGCATCAGGCGGAGCTCAGCACTTATATAATGTTAATCAATGTTTCAGAGTTATTCTCATGTACAGAACTCAGATCTTGTCCTGCCTGACTTACCAGCTCAGACTGAACTGATCAAGGTCACTCTGAGATCTGAAATACTTCCTAAACTCCTTGTGACAAATCAGAGACAGCTTCCTGGCACACAAGGCCAAAACACTTATCACTTCCTAAAACTCACAGGTATGACTGACACTGTAATGCTTTGAGTTTCCAACTACAATCATCTTTGATCATTCAGTCATTTCTTCATGAAATCAGAGAATCAGGTTGGAAACTTCCCAATGAACATAGAGTGAGATTTCCTTCCCTGAAACAGGATGTTCTGAAGTAACAGATTTCCAGAATATTTTTAAACAACTTTGTCATTTTAAACCTCTGCTAAAGCTGAACTATCACAGGTATAACTGCCACTGTAATGCTTTAAAGTTTCCAACTACAATCATCTTTGATCATTCAGTTATTTCTTTATGAAATCAGAGAATCAGGTTGGAAAGTTCTCAGTAAACACAGAGTGAGATTTCCTTCCCTGAAATAGGATGTTCTGAAGTAACAGGTTTCCAGAATATTTTTAAAACAACATCCTTTTTAAACTCTGCTAAAGCTGAGCTAGAAGGTGATGGTCCTACCTTGATGGAAGCAACATGGAGCAAAGTCTCTCCCTTGTAATTCCTTCTGGCAATGGAGTTGACAGCAGGGGATTTCACCACAGAAGGACTGAGTGGTGTTGCTCCTTGACTGCAACTCTTGGAAGTGGATGGGGTAGAGGGAGACTCTGAAAGTGAAGGACTGTTTGTGACTTGAAGGGCTGCAGATCTTGTCTTCATTGCAGTGCCAGTGAGTTTGGCTGCAGAGGAGGAAATGTGGGCTGGGGAGACGGGGGAGCCCTGCAGAGACTGCTCTGAGGCAGCAGCCTGCCTGCCTGCCTGGCCAGGAATGCCCCTCTCACTTCTCCTTGCTCTCTTGGACTGAGGAGTTCCCTGCAGCCTGCACTGCTCCCTGCCACGTTTCAAGGGTGTCACTTCATTTGCTCCTGACAGCAGTGTCTCTGCAGCACCATGTGTTTCCTTGCTCTCTGCTGCAGAGCACACAACCTCACTGTTATCCTTCTTTGGGGATTCCACCTGTGGTAGAACTTCCACATCTTCTGCATTGCTGCTGGAGTCAGCTTCCTTGACAGGCTCCTGCTGGGGTCTGTGCTCAGGAGACTCTGGTTCCTGAGTGCACAGCACTACTGGCTGACTGCAGATGGTCACACACTTCTCCTTGGGAGCCTTCTCAGCTTTTTTCTGCTCAGGTTTCTCTAAGCTCCACACTTTGTTAATGTCTGCTAGGTGTTTCTTCTTCATCTTCTTCATCTGCCTCTGAGTTGCTTTTTTTGTTGGCTTAGAGGGCTTTTCATGAGGAGGGGAAGGAAAGAAATCATAAACTGAAGATGTGTCTTGAGCAAGGTTAGTGCTTTTAGTGCCAGCCTGACTCCTGTTCACAACACATCGAATCTTCCTGCTCCTGGGGCTGAACCACATTTTTATCTGCTCCTTCTTGCTCTTCTTCTCCAGCTCTGACTCAGGGGGTGTGGATGTCTCCTCTGCTGAACCTAAGTGCATGAGCAAAGGGGAAAAATAATTATGGAGTACTCTTCAGAACCTCACAAAGCAAAAAAAAAATCATAACAACAACTGCAAGGATTGATGAAGTGTTACTAAATACAATCTATGAGTGCCTTCATTTCTTCTCAGAAGGCACATGGGGTGACTTTAAAAGCCCAGGCAAGGTGACACTCCTGAGATGTCACACACAGTGACTTTAAAAGCCCAGGCAAGGTGACACTCCTGAGATGTCACACACAGTGACTCTAAAAGCCCAGGCCAGGCCACATGCCCCTCTGGAGCTCACAGATCCAACAGGCCAATGAACATCCTGGCAAATAAATTCCTTCAGCAGTCAGGGTTCACAGCACAGCAGAGTTCTGAGCAGGTCAGAAAAGGACAAAAGTTGGTTTTCTCACTGAGTTTTCCTTGGAAATAGGGTTGACAAAGAGGCGTGTGCATACATAAAAGAGCACAGAAACAATTTTTTAAAGAGGTATTAGAGTTCATCCAAAGATGGAAAGGAAAAATAGGTGCAAGCAAGCAAAAGCAATGTCCTTATAAAAATGTCAAACATTCCTGAAAAACTTTGACTGTTTCCACAGATATAGCAGATGAAGCAGAGGAATATATATAGAAAATGTGTAAGCAATTGTGTCCTGTCATTTGATCCTTTACCCCTGTGTAGTAAATAACTTCAAGGAAGCTAAGCATTTTGATGATCTCAAACATTTCTTTAAAAACATGCAGTGGAGCAATTTTATAAATCACACTGTACAGCACATTACAAATCCATGAGCAGGATGATGCAGGAATATCCTGTACCCCCAGCACATGAAATAACAGTTGACAACAAGGGCTGAGCACATAAATATTGTCTTCAATGGCCTAAGAATAAATTAAGGAGTGTAAAGTGACCTCAAAGTTAGACACTAATTTAATTTTACCTTTTTTTTGACACAAAAAAACCATAGCAGATTTTTTACCAATTCCTTCATTCTGAACTTGTGTTATTTTAGGTTATTTGGACAAAGTAAATGCACAACTCATTCTTCCTGTTGCCTCAAACTTCAGGGACTACCACTCACAAAAGTCTTGGTGATTTATAACAATCAAACAAAACCAATATGAATTCTGTTTTGAAGCAGCACTAAGACCAAGATTAGAAGGGAGGGGAGGGTTTTAAGTATTCTTAAAACAAGCAACATAAAGTCTCAATTATTAAAAATGACAGACACTCACAGCAACAATCTATCACTTTCACTTCAGTGCATCAAGTTTCTAGGGCTGATTTATTATCTCCACACCTTCTATTTTTGCTGTTAGTAACTACAGCCAGCTTTTCATAGCAAGCTGGGATAAACTCATGGCAACAAACACACTGGTTCCAATCCCTTAGTCACAACAAGTGCTTTTGAAACTCCACTTAAAAGAGAAGTGTGCAGCTAGTAATTCAACACTAAAACAGGCATTCAGTTGTCTTTTAAAGCAATATTGCAAAGTTAAATGTTTCCTTAATCTTGATTTCAATTACCCTACTTACCCCTGGAATTAAATCCTGTTACATATTAGATTCAGGTAGAGGAATATGAAAGCCATCAGGCCAAAAGTGTCATTAAGAATACAGCTGGAGGCTAGTTAATCAATCATTTAGCCACTAGAGATAATCATCAATACAGAACTGCAGCTATTTGGTTTTCCTCTAAGGCTGGGCTTGGTGCAAACAAGAGAAAAAGCACTGAAATTGAGACTGAAATCTCAGAACTAGCTAGTCTTGAGAACACATCCACTCTCATTCTGCCAATAACATCTAAAAAAAGGAAGAGCTTGATTGCAAACAGATGCAAAATATAAAACACAAGTGACTATTTTCTCATCTTGCCAGTGTTTACACAAACTAACACATCTCCTTGTCAAACATTTACCTTGCTAAAAGAATCAGCCATCCCCAAGTAAAGAGAAATAATAAAATCAGCTTGCAGAAGTCATTTGTGCAACAATTTTAGGATGGCCAGAATTCTTTTTTATGTGTGTAGCACAGCAAGACTTTAAAGTCCAAGTGACAAATTCAATCAAAGGCAGTGTCCTTCAGAAGTATGATCTAAAGCAGCAGAACACAATGCAGCATTTATTCTGGCTGTACCACTTGTGGCAGCAGCAAAACCTGTGAAAAATCCACCACCAGGCTTCCTGCACTGATCTGCTCATTGCTGCTTGCTCAGCAGGGATTTACCAGCCAGGCTATTAAAAACCTGCTGGAAATAGAACATGCTAAATAAATACTTGCCAAGGAGTGGTTTTGAAGTTCTAGAACAGGGAGGCACTCAGGGGACATGATTAGAGGATGACAAAGAGATTCACTCCACCCAGAGGCCAGCCCTGCACACCCAGGGCAGGAAATTGCACTTTCTGCTACCCCTTCCTCCATTTCCAAAGTGTACAAGGTACAAGCAACTTGGACAAATGGCCAATCTGCCTCCCCTGAAAATCAAACCTTTTGATGGACCCAGAGCTGGGAGAGGGAGAAATAAAGAGGGGAGATGCAGAGCCAAGAAGCTGAAAGGAAGTCCTTATGATTTAATAAGTAAATGTTAATTTATATAAAGAGGGTATTATCTGGTAGCTAAGTTCATTCAGTTAAAGTACCTTCAGAGAAAATTGCTCACAATAAAATCAATCCCAATGAATTCTCTGCTGTCTCTGTGTTTGAAGCCAGAGCTTGGATTTTAACAGGATTGTAAAATATTACTATTATGATTTTGATTTGTCTTTTTAATACATAAGTGTCCTCACAAAAATTTTCAGAGGCATTTAGACAAGGTAAATCAGTGGAGCATTCCTTACTAATTCTAGATTTTAAGCATTTGCAATAGCATAAAGAGCATCCACAATAACAGTACTAGAATCAGCCTATAATAAATGCAGTAAATTTAGTCTCCATTACCTATTAAATGTAACATTCAGATACACAATGCAGCAACTGAATTATTTCTAATTTAGAGTTAATAAGCACAAGTTTCTCCATGCTGGCATTTAATAGAGTTGGATTTCTTAAATGTTAAAAGGGTTGAGAGTACACAAAAATACCAGGAGATGGTCAGTGCCTTGCAACCAGAGCTCCAAGTTCTGCTGCAGTGCAATAGCAGCCTAGTGCAGGGGGAAAAGGAGCAATTAGAAAATGTGGTTTAGCTATCATTAATCTGCATCAAAGGAAAATAATGATGCACATTGTGTGTCTTTCCAATTATTCTCTATTATGGGTTTCAGAACAGAAGTTGAGAAATCTCTTTGACAAACTAGTCCCTTATTAAAAATCAAAGGGAAGAGCTTTGGTACCATCTGTGCAACATTAGTGCCTTCACTGAAGAGTGATCATTTGGCAAGTTAAGTATTCAACACCAAAGGGGAAAGGGAGAAATTCCAGCTATTCAAAACTGAATCTTTAGATGCCATGAAAGATGTCCCAGCAGCCATGAAATGCAATGTAATCTGTTACAACAGGAGTTCCACATGCAGTAAATGTGAAACAGAGTCATGATACTGTAAAGGCTGATTGATCTCACTGACTGTCCACCAACATCAGCACCAGCTTGGGAAGCTTTGACCATCTCCTGCAAGGTGTAGCTGTGAAGGAGAAGGAGGAAGGCTTTCTGTTTGATGTGTAAAACTGAAGCAGATTGCTACAAAGAATAAGGTAAAATCAACTATAAACGCTTGGTGATGGTTCTGAGAATTTAAAACAATCTATTCTTTTTTAAGAACATTACACAGAAAAGTATTTACAACTTCTCTTTCAAAATGATCACTGTAAATCAACACATTTAGTGTTTTATGTGCACTCTGCCCATGGTTCCACCCATGGAGCCCATCATCCCACCAGTGTCAGTTCCCAACGTGCCTTGGACATTTCCACATCAGAGCTGAAGGGTTTGAGTGCAGACACCCCACCTGTGGTGCCAGCTTCCCTTCACCCTTAGGAAGGTACAGCACAGGGCAGCCAAAAATTCAGGCACCTCTTCTCATCTTGCCATGGACTAAGCACAAAAAAACCTCCAACAAGAGAATTCACTTGGAGGCTCAGCATTTCCTACCTATAGCTTGAATTTTCCACCTAGAATTTGCATTTTCCAGCCAGTTTCAGGTTTGTTTGTCAATTCATGTTCAGTCACCCCAGGAGTGTCATTGGCTGTGTTTCCCTCTAATTTAAAAGGGAAGTATTAGCTGTTTTATGCAGTCTTTCCTGAATTATTTGCTGCAGCTCCTTACAATGCACATGCTGTTTGGCAGAAGCTATTTTTATCCCAATGGAATACAAAGTGAGATCCCTCTCATGTCTACAGTGGAACCTCAGGGTACAGGGATTTTTGTATTTGAAATATTCAGTGTGAGCTTAACCCTATCCTTTTCAGTCACGGCACTTCCATGGGGTTTTTTAAAAGAAAAATACACAACTTACTGCATGCACTAGCTCTGTCAGACAAAAAAATTACTAGCAGGATGCACTTAGAAATTTCAGATTCAAGATTCAAGAGACGCCACAACTGTCTCAAAACAAGCAAATGTGCAAAAGGGACATAAAACATAAATATACAGAAATATTATTATTTTCAACTGCTTCTCTTCCTTTCCTGCACTGAAAGATTGATTTTTCGGTCTACTTCCTTTAGTGGAACATGAAGTACAATCTCTGACCTTCTAACATAAAAGAAAAGAAAATATTGTTGACAGAAGTGCAGTGCTGTAAGAACATGAAAGCAAGTCCTTAACAAGAGAAGAGAAGCCATGATTCTCCAAACTCAAACGTATTTCCCTTTGGATACATTAAGTTCAAGGCAGAACTTCATGGATCCAGACATCTATGGGAGGTGAGGGACAAAACATCCTGAAGAATTTGCTCTCAAAATCTCTCAAGCTGTGATTTTCACCCATATTTTTTCCCCCAATATATAACTGGCTGTTCTTAGAGGTGTGCTCATTTATTTATCAATTCAGGCCATTCCTGGCAGTGAACTATCACAGCTGGGGAGGAATTTCTCCCACCCTCAGTATCCCACATCCCAAAGGCCACTGTGCTAATCCCTGGCATGCTGCAAAGATTCCAAGTGACAGAAAGGCATCTCCCAAATAATTTCTATAAAACAGTCTTGTAAACTTCTATTTTCTGTCTGCTTTTAAGTCAGAACAAAATGATGATAAAAATAATGATAAAAAGAACCTCACTTAGTTCTGTGGCCCAGCCACACCACACACACTTCATTTTAGAAGAATTATGGGATTAAATGTACTGCTCAATTTTTAGTACAGTTAAACATCAGACCAATTTTTAAGAGTTAATCCATCTCTAAGAGCTCTCCAAAACATCTAAACAGTATCAATAATGCTACCATGTTGTATTTTAAATGGTTTATTTATAGTATCACAAACAGCTCCTCTCAGAATGATTCTCTTCTGAGTGTGCTTTTAAAAGCCTTCATCCCTAAAAATGTTTCCCTGAAATCCTATTTAGGCCATCATCTGTTTTCTATGCTCCAGAAGATTTAATCACCATAGGATTTTATACCTATATAAAATGTATTTCTTTACACTTGGACACAGGCTTCCAGCCTTGTTGCTTAAAATCCATTTTGGTGCCAATAAAGAGATATTCCATAAATGAGTGAAGGTGCTGATGGGATTGCACACAGAAAAGGAATCTTTAACTTAGACAAGCATATTAGAAAGCAACAATGAAGGAAGAATTACCTATTCTGTATCTGACAAGTAAATGAATGTTTTCTAAAGCTTGGTATTACATAAATGCTCCTCTCTGAGCTTGCAGAAGAAACACACAATCACCTATGTTTATTTCACTACACTTTTTCCTACTTTGACAAACAACTTAAAATTTGATAGAGATTCATTCCCAGAGTACATTCTCTGCAATCTCCTAGCACAGTCAGAACGACAAAACTTCACTGCAGCAGATTAGCTCATTGTTAGGGACCAGAAAACAAATGAGTTAAGACTTGCTTCTTTCCCCTTTTTAGGCAAAGAACACAGATCCTTTTTCCCATGTGCAAAAACCCTGAACTGAAAATGACTGGGACAGCAGGCACGGCTCAGTCAGTGCACAGCAACCCAGAGGCAGGAGACGACATGCATTCATTCTTTAATGTAGAACTTCACACTCTGGGGCTCCCATGAGATATGGCAACCTGTGCCCCGTGACTCAGCGACCTCTCCCACTTTCATCTCATTTTGGAAAACTGATTCTAATGACTAAAACAAATTCAAAGAACGAGCAAATCACATTTTCCAAACATGATTTGGAGCAGCCTCAGGGAATTTGCAGCAGGGCTGCACTGCTCATTTGCTGGACAATGCAAGGGGGTGGCCTGGAGCGAGCAGCCGCCAGGGGAGAGCCTCACCTGCGGTGTGGGTGCTCAGGAGCTGCCGCAGCTGGCTGCACAGCTGGATCATGTTATCCAGCTGCCGGTTGATCTGCGCGTCCTGCACCCAGGCTGGCACGTGGCACACGGGGCACCCGCTGCCAACGCTGTCACCCACGCAGGACCTGCGAGGCAAAGGGAGAACACATCATCCAGGTTTTATGTTTGCCCAATTATCCCATCAAAAAAAACCAAACAATATTTAAGGTAGCAACAATTTTAATTGAATAGTTTAGAAAATATATAAATAAGGGATAATTTGGTTCAAATAATAGTGCATAAGCAAAAACAACCGCGGGGTACGGAGGGCAGGGTTCAATCACCCTTGCCACTTCACGTCCAAGCTTGCCAAGTAAAAGTCACCCCTTATATGCCATGTGTCAATTCCATCTCCTCCTATTTTCGGTTCGTCACTTTTCTGTCTCCGCCTTCATTACCACCTTTACCACGCATGCGCCATTACTCGGTTTGGTGGTCGCACAAGTCTTTGGGGGTCGTCACTGATGAAGGCCCTGTAGTCTTCTTCGCTGTCCTTTAATTCACCTTTGGGTTACACATGCGCACCAAGCCAGTACAATGTAAGCCAAGACTAACATATCACTGCATCTACATATCAAAGCAATAAGTCCCTTATAATTAGCATTTTCTTGGACCCAACCAGGTTCTTGGTCATTTTTAGCAACTATATCTTCAGCTTCTTTCCTGTGCTCCTTGAGAACATCTGCTGGGAAGGGGGGTGGGTGGAGCCCCTCCTTTCCATTTCTTCTTTGGCATTACAACTTTTAACTATTAACTATTTTATTATTCTCAAATATTAATTACTGTATCAATATTGAGTACTGTTTCAATTTTTATCAGCACGAATCATACCTATTTACCACACAGGGGAGTTATCCGCTGCACCCACCATCAGCCGTGCCACAGCCCAGCCACAACCTCTTATTGGGGCATTGCAGGAAAGCCCACACGAGCTAGTCACAAACACAGGACACATTTACCATGGCTGAACATGAAATTAAGCAACCCACTTCCCAAGCTTTGTCAGGACAGCCATGAAAAACACAGTGCCTCACAACTGACCCAAATTTCCATTGCTGTTTGACTCCAGCTAACAATCAGGCTTCGCTGTTAAAACCACAAATTCTTCTACATCTGCTATTCTGCAGCCTTCCATTTTTAAACCAGTGCCATAGTAAACGACAATTTCCACTTTCTCCTACTTAAAATTTGCTTGGTGCTGTGAAGAACTTTCACCTGTGTGAACATTTCCCATGAGGATCTCCAGGTGCTCAGAGTATTTGATCACTGCTCTCTTTCACAGCATTTATGTCAGATCATCGTGGTGGGATAGGTGGGGAAACAGATTTACTCACTAATACTACTCTCCCCAAAGCAGCTTAAAATCTTTTATTCTTTGATTAGGCCAGGGATAAGACCTGAAGTCAGAGCTGAGAGCACTTCTTTAAGATACAACAGAATTTAACTCCAGTTAAATTTAATTTAATTTCCAGTTACAAAAAAGGTACTGGAAATTTATATTTCAACAGTTAAACATCAATGGACAATATGCAGGCAGACAATTGAGTTGTAACTGAAATAGCAGCAACTTGGAACCACTGGAGAGATTATAAAGGTGTGGCAAATACGTTGTGGTTTTATGTAATTCAGTTTTGAGAATAGTTCATAATGGCTGCAAATATTATTGAAAATACCTAATTTGCTCCTAAAGAAATTAATCTGAATTTCCTTAGGTTAAGTTTAAAAAATAGCCACTGCCCAAGACTCAATCATCAAAGGACAGATGGAATTGCTGCTAAAAGGTCAGGGGTAAAGGAGAGGAAAGATCAGGCACAACAATAACTCAGATAACAGCAAATAAACTCCTTTTTCTGGAGCAAGAAATAGCTGCTAATGAGTGCTTAAAACTCCTGTTAGCTGTTCTTTCCAGCCTCATCAATACAAACTGCATTGTCCTCTTGATATTTGGAAATTTTTTCTTGAAAAACCCCACAAAACTCTAACCAACAGTGGGTGATTTACATCTATCACCTAGAGTACACAGGGGTTATCCAAAATAAAACCACAAGGCCTTAGATGCCCAACAGCTGAACAATTACATTTATTAAACCACATGTTCATGCTTATAAATAATTTTTACAAGTTTCTGCGGGTTAATTTACAAAATGATCCGTAGGTATGTTGTATAAATGTAATAAATAATTTTAAAAATTCCTTTAAACAGCAGAATCATACAACGGTTCCAGCTGGGAGGGACCTTAAGGCCCATCTCATTCCACCTCCTGTCATGGCAGGGACTTCCCACTATCCCAGGGTGCTCCAAGCCCTGTCCAGCCTGGCCTTGGACACTTCCAGGGGCAGCCACAGCTGCTCTGGGCACCCTGTGCCTCTCCACCCTCACAGGGAGGAATTTCTTCCCAATATCCAAAGTAAACCTGCTGTCTTTCAGCGTGAAGCCATTCCCCTTAACCCTGTCCCTATGTGCCCTTGTAAAAGGCCCCTCTTCAAGAATCTTCTACAGCAATCAGTGGCCACAGCTGGGAAAGAACACGTGTCTGGAGAGAAATAAATACTCCTTAAAAAGCCAGTAAATATTCTGCTTGTAATTTACCTTTCAGGCCTTCAACAAGTAAAGTGCAGCTGAAGATAGACAGTGGACACACACCCATGAGGAGAAACTCTAAAACACAGGCAGACTTTTTAACTCCCCGTGCTTGCACGTGCATGCCGTGACGGTGGCCAAAATATTCCCCAAAGGCAGCTCTGGGGCACAAATATTTCAGCCCCAGCCTGTATTGACAATGCAGTGAGTTATCTCACAACAGGCAACCTGACCACCGCCACCTCAGAAGCGCTTCGCTGGCAGAACGTTTCTAATTAACGACAGTTTAAGTTAAAAGTTGAAGTTAAATTAAGTTCAGTTTTTTGAAGCACTCAGATTATTTGAGCAACTCTAAGCAGAGGTAAGCCTGCCTATGCCAATGTTTGGATGTGTGTGAGAACAGCAACAGGCACAGCAGCAGAAATGAAGGAGCAAAGCCTTGGCAGAAGGCCAAACCAACAACAAGCACCACCCAGCCCTCAGGGGCAGAGGAAAACCCCCTCGGAAACAGGAAACACCTTCCCAAGCCGCTCTTTTTTCTTTATGTGAAAAGAAAGGAGTTGAGGGTGATGCGAACTGCAGGTTGTTTTGGATTTTTACCTCACACCTCACTACAAGCAGACAATTCCCTCCACCACACTGAAAGCTCCCTTCACACCTGGCCAGCATCCTGAAGCCTAAACCAGAATTTCTACATGAGACCCTCAGGTGAACAGCGGCTCCCGCTCTCCTGTCCCCCTCAGCTCCCCGGGAGGAGCAGCAGGCCGGAGCCGTGCCCATTCCCGGTCCTTTCCCACAGCACGGCGGCGGCCCCGGTACTTACAGGCAGAAGACGTGCTCGCACTGCCCCCCCAGGGACACGGGCTCCCGCAGGACACCGGCGCTGTGGGCAGAGCAAGGAGAAACGCGGCACTTTTAACACACACAGTAGGGGCTGTGGGGGAGGACAGGGTGGGGGGAAGGTGGAAGGGAGACGTCCATTACCAGCGGGAGCAGCTCAGTGCCTTCTCCAGCCGCCCCAGCGCGGCGCGGGTGTGGGACCAGGTGTGCCCGGGCGGCGCCATGGAGGGGGCAGCGGGACGGAGAGGGCTGACTGGGGCCGGCTGGTTGCCCGAGCGTCCGCGCAGCGCCTCCCTCATCGCTCCCCTCAGCGCTTCCCGCCGGTACCAGGACCCCCTGAGCCCCTTACCCGGTCCCCTCAGCGCTTCCCGCCGGTACCAGGACCCCCTGAGCCCCTTACCCGGTCCCCTCAGCGCTTCCCGCCGCCGTTCCGAATCCCCCGCCCGCCCCTTCTGCGCAGGCGCGGGGGCCGCGCGCGCGCTGCCCGCCCTCAGCGTTTCCCGCGCGCCGGGAGTGGGGCGGGGCTGCCTGTGAGGGAAGGCCGGGGAAATGGCGGGCTCGGCGAAATTCGGGGCGGAGAGCCCGGAGCACGGGGTGTGGCAGGATAATTGGGTGTTAATGTCTTCACGTGCGGCTCCGTGGGTGGGAGTCTGCAGTAATTACAGGGAAATAGGCTGTTAATATTGTCAGGATCGACTAGGTCTGAAAGAATAGCTCGGCAATCTTGACAATGTTTTTGTCTCTACGAACATCAGACTGCGGGAGCTTGTTACAGTTTAAACTTATGAACTTCAGGGTAATGGCAGAAATGCCTCCGCACGAGTCTCTAACTCTACTTCAGTGTCTGAACTTCCCAACTTTATTGGCAAATGACGATACAAGTTAAAGCAGCTCGAAGCCATTTCCTCATGTCACATCCCTGTTCGTATGTGAAAAACGCCAATCCCTTGTTTTTAAATTTTTTTAAGTTTAATAGTAATAAAATGGTTATAAAATAGTAATACAATTAGAGTAATAATAATTTGGACTATTTGGATTAGGACAATATGAGACAATAAAAACAAAAACCCTATGGACGTCCGGGTACCTTTTTCTGGGCAAAATAAGCCCGAAAAAGGACCCACATTAACAGAAGATTAACCCTTAAAAACAATAACCTGTTGCATATTCATACACCTCATCCATGATGCATAAATTCCATTCAAACACAGGATTCTGTCTGGTCAGTGTCAACCTCTTCCTCTTAATCCTGACAGCGTCATCGTGGCTGAGCAAGGTGGGAAGAAGTTCATTTGTTCTGATAATGGTGCAATAAATTCTCTTTATCAGAAGGATTTAGGTGTCCTGTGGCTGCTATCTTGATCCGAGTCCTTTCTTTAGAAAAAAAATATCCTAAAGAGCATAGTTTCTATAGTAACATTTTGTTATAACCTAAAACTATATTTCACACACTACTGAAGAGAATAAATGCAGCATTACTTTCTAACACAACACATATAATATTCATTTGAATATTTGCAAAAAGCCAATCATAAAATACGCATTTTTCACAGCCAATCATAAAATACGCATTTTCTTTGTTATAGATACAGAGACACTGGGAAGACGTACACAGGAGCATCAGTTTTGGGTAGGAGATCAATTCAGATGGTGTTGTGGTATCTAGATGGGCTGAGACCAACAGCATGAGGTTCAAGAAGGCCTTAATTCTTATTAATTAATTCTCTTCAGTAGTGTGTTAAATATAGTTTTAGGTTATAACAAAATGTTAAAATAGCAACTATGCTATGTAAGATGCTTTTTTTCTAAAGAAAGGACTTGCACAGAGATAGCAGCTACAGGACACCTAAATCTTTCAGAGAAAATGAATTTATTGCTCCATTATCAGAACAAATGAACTTCTTCCCACCTTGCTCAGCCATGAAGACTCTGTTAGGATTCAGAGGAAGAAGTTGACACTGACCAGACAGAATCCTGTGTTTGAATGGAATTTATGCATCATGGATGAGGTAATGAATATGCAACAGGTTATTGTTTTTAAGGGTTAATCTTCTGTTAATGTGGGTCCTTTTTCGGGCTTATTTTGCCCAGAAAAAGGTACCCGGACGTCCATAGGGTTTTTGTTTTTATTGTCTCATATTGTCCTAATCCAAATTTTCCAAATTATTATTACTCTAATTGTATTACTATTTTTATAACCATTTTATTACTATTAAACTTTAAAAATTTTAAAAACAAGTGATTGGCGTTTTTCACATGTCTAACACAGCATAAATATAAATATCAGGCAGAGATACCTTACCAGACACCATTATTTCGGGTTTCCAGGTTTTTCCCTCAGCCTGTGTTTCTTGCAGCATCCCAGCCCCAGTCCAGTCTCCCACTTTTGCAGCTTGATGTTTTTTAGGTGGTACCTGCACAGGGATGCAGCTCCCGCCATCCCTCTACAGCATAATTACTGGAGCACATAAAGTAGTTATAGCAGGAATTTATCACTTTCAGGTAGGAATACTCCTGGCCAAGTAAAAGATAGAGCAGGAATGCCAGGAGCAATTTATAACGGGCTTACTGACATTTCACGTGGAGAAGCTCCGCCAGTGAATAAGCATCAAGCCATAAATCTCGAAGAAAACGTGATTAAAGCGAGCAAGTTATTCTTTGAGGGAACTTCATCATAAAAGGACATGGCTGCAAAATTTGGTTTGTGACAGTCATAGAAAACAGCCATCTGAGGGGTGTCTCAGCCTTACCCTATCTAGACAGAAGGAGTTCTACTTAAATGGGTGTTAAATCAAGGCTGAAAGTATTTCTTAATAAGTTATTAATGTCCTCCAAGAGGGAGGTTCTACACTTTCCAAGGGTCACACTCCTCTGCTTTTGTAGCTTGAAAATGTGAATTTTCTACTTTTTTTTCTTTCTTTAGGGAAGGCTGAATATTTATCTTTTTTACTAATATGAAGCAGAGGTGCAGGGAAGTTGGCTCCACACAGGATGTGGAATTGTGAAATCTCTGAGCACTAGGAGAACGTTTCCTGCTGCCATCTGGGTGCAGTGAGCTGCTGTGGGGCACAGTATCCTCCTTTCCTGTCTTGGAGGAGGGAGAGGAGCAGGCAGAGGTGCCCTGGGTGTGCTGCTCACAGAGGAGTTTGTCCCCAAGCCCTGCAAGCCAGGGGACTTAAGTCCCTTCAGAAAATAAGCGAAGAAAATAAGAATAAGGCTTAAGAAAATAAGAATAAGGTTAAGAAAATAAGCTAAGCCTGTCATTTTTCCCTTAAGAATGAAGAGCTGCCAAGTGCAACCTTAACCACCTTAACCTTAACCTACCTTAACTTAGTCCCTGTTACTTGGCTCATCCGGTGCTTCAAAAACCCAGCTCCCAGCAGCTCCCCATGCACCAGGGATGCTGAAAGATGGCAAAAGGCCTCACTGCTGAGATGAAACTTCAGTGCAGTTTGAAGCATTTGGAGCAGGTTACAAACCACACTTGATCCACAGATCTCTTGAGTCAACCTGGCATTTATGTTCACAAAATATGAGATGCCGATATATAGTGTATAGCACAGTAAAGCAGATAAGTGCCTCCTCTTCCTTTCCTCCAGCTGAAATATGTTTAGTGCCTCTCTCAATAAATCCACAGATGCAATAGTTTCCATTGTGCTGAGACATTATGTGGGAATTTACAAACATTTACAACTGAGTTAAACTGAGGCAAAGCACTGCCCTGGGCAGCCTGCATCTAACAAATGCCCATGTTCCAGAAAGATGTAAAAGTCACAAATGATTCATTCTCCTTAATTTTATAAAGGTTAAGGAGCTGGCAGTCTTGGAAATCTAAGAAATGTCTTCTTCAGCAGTGAATTAATGCGACCAATTGGACAGTCAGAAGCAAAAAAAAATGATGGGGGGGCAACAGAAGGAAGAAGAAATATATCTCTAAATTTGGTTTATGCAGTATTTAAAGTACAAGTCAAGCCATTCCAGGCACTATAAGGCCCACACACTTTAAAATAAATTTGTTGCATGACAGAAAGCCAGTGAAGGGGTTTCAGCAGTGGTGTGATATAGTGAGGCAGCAGCGTTTGGTGCGTGCATGAATCAGCAGCTCTGCACCCTGCTGAGGCAGGGCTCATCCTCACTGTGCTGGACTGGAAATGGGATTTCCAGACAATGCTGGGCTCCAGAGCCAAAGTCACGCTGAAGGATGGTTCAGCTCCATGGCTTATGAGGGAGGGAAAAAATCCTCGCCTGCCTCGTGCTTCATTTCAAAGCATTGCCCATCTGGTAAGGACCTTTTTATGGAAATGCACTGCTACCTGATATTTTATTCATTTAGTGGAGCTCCCCAGCTGTTTCTCAACAAATATACAATTATTATGTGATACACTGTGTAGCGTGCAGAGGGAAGCAGTTCCACTGAGTTTTGTAAATCTGTTGTTTTCTTAGGGGTTAAAAGAGCCAAAGCTCCCTGAAGAGGGGATCCCTCTGCTCTCATCCACCTGAATACAGAGCACATCCTGAAACCTCTGCACCCTGCCAGGAAATGATGCTCAGCTCAACGTGCTGCACACCCACAGAAGGGACAGGATGGATCCTCTTCATCAGAAGACTGCAGAAAAAACTGGAGGAGCTGCAGCCTCATCCTTGAATTCCCTCTCTTCCCAAATGCCTGAATCACAGGCTTTCACAGGCTTAGTTTGCTCCTCAGGCCACCCCTCTGGGGCCAATTTTGCCCCACACCCAAAGCCCTGTGAGCTCACCGTGGTCACAGAGGCATCCTGGGCTGCAGTGCTGGTTTGACAGACATGGGGCTGCTGAGATCCTTCAGTGCAGGAATTGAATTAGGGCTGTTTGACTACCAAATTTTCAGATTTCAAATGCTGAGGGATTGATCCCTCAAATGAAATAATAATAATAATAATAATAACAATAATAATAATAATAATAATAAAGTCTATTACACTTTCAGACTAAGCAGCACAGTCAGCATTGCATTGCACAGCATTAAATTATTCCTCGAGTCTCAATAGCAGGAACATCTGCTGGTGTTAGACATGGCATTTTTAATTAAAGGCAGCAGCAGAGAAGCCTGTGCTTCATTGGTTCTGCTTTCACCGTGTGAATTGCTAAATCCAAAGGGCACTTGTACAAAAGATTTGGTCAGAGCACAAGCTCTGGGCCCAGCACTGCAGAAAAGCACCAGAGGTGACAAGTAATTTCCACCTGCCCATCGCCCGGCAGGAGATCCCTGTCAATGCTCACATGGGTCAAAAGCTGTGGGGGATTTGACAAAATTTAAATTACTCTTCTGATT